CCCGTCTACGTCGGGGGCAACTTCGTGGACTCCATGCCGGCCTCCGGGCCCATGTTCAACCTGGGCCACCTCTCTCACCCCTCGTCGGCCAGCGTGGACTACAGCTGCGCCGCGCAGCTGCCCGGCGGCCACCACCACGGACCTTGCGACCCGCACCCCACCTACACGGATCTCACGTCGCACCACACGTCTCAGGGACGCATCCAGGACGCGCCCAAGCTCACGCACCTGTAGCGGGACTGGGAGCGAGCGGAGCGGGCGCTCCTGCGAATTACCTCACTTTTCTGGCGGGACAGTGTTACGTGCTCTCGAGTGGCGACAGTATTAGCGGATTTGTCTCCCCTAACTGCTACATCTTTCCTTTCCTCTATTATTTCTTTTTTTTAAATTTTTTTTTTTCTGTTGCAACTCTCCATAACTATTTTGGTATAAAATATTTGTATGTTTAAATAAAAGACTAAGGTATACTGTAAACCAAGGGACTAATAATCTGGTAATTATGTACTTGAAGGTAAGTCTTATAGATCAATTAGTGTTAGCAGCGCGTCATGCTGAGGTGTCTTAGACCGGTTGTGAGCGGTGGGGACTTGCCTACATATAAGCTTATTTCAGAGAAGTTAATTTATGAATTCTTCCGTAATGTAAGGATCGCAGCGGACTAAATGATATGTATTTATTATTTTAAGCGAGACACTTTTGTATCACTGATTATTTATCCTCGTCTTAATGTATTTATGTGGGTATTTGTAGAATTTATTCACCAGTACTTCAGGAGATCGAGTCAGGTCCATGGTGACTTACATTTCACCTATTTAGTATATTCGGTCTGAGCTAGTTGAGAGAGTAGTCTTAAGCAGTTGTAACAGTGGCTGGTGTTTGTAGTTTATGTAAGGATTAATTAAGACAGCAAGTTGTAAGTCATTAATAGAGTAAAACAAACCGTGGCATCACACAAAGAGCCGTTACACTTTTTAAGAAGCTGAAAGTATTTTTAAAATATTTATTTCAAATCGTCTGGTACCATTTGAATGCCTCCTTAGGCTGGCCGGCAGCTCGTCTGTTTGTATGAAGCCACCTTTTAGTTGGAAGCGCAATCGCTTTGAGAAAGCGATCCACAAAGCGAGTCTCTTGGCTATCTTGTTTCCCATCAAATCCTGCCTACAAAAACCTCAGTGAGGTTAGCATTTATTTATTGACTAGGTATCTATTGCACGCATTATCTCGGTGGGCTATTTTCTTTTTATTAAAGCCTGGCTATCTGAAATAGGAAAGGAATTAGAGGCTTAGAATAATAATAATAATAAATTAGAAATCCTCTGATAGTGCTAATATCATTAGGGTCTCCATAGCAATCCGTGCAGCAGCTGCCGTCTCCTTTGTTATTTATACTGTTGTCTTTATACTAAGCATAAATTAATTTTTTAGACGTCTTTGAAAGCCCGAGCTTTTCCTCTTGCTTTTCATAAAAACAAACTCGGAGCGAGACTTGACAATCAGATGCGCGGGGCGGGAGGCAGCACCGGGGCAGGCGGGGGGCGGCGGCGCAAAGAAAAAAAAAAAGAAAAAAAGTGGGAAAATCCAGGATGCGCTGAAACATCTTATTTCCTCTTCTTAGTTATGGCTGTGTTGAATCCCTCTCCGGATTTACCAGAGTCGTCTTCTGCTTCTTCTTCTTTGGGAAAGGTTGGCATTATAGTCTGTTCCTAACGGGATAGACTACTCCGAGAAACTCTTCTCTCTCTTATGCAGTGCCGAGTTAAAGATTACTCGGATCTCTTTTCTCTCCACACAACTACCCAGTGCATCACTCTCTGGTCTGACAAACACTGCAACTCCTACCCCAGCCCCTGATGACAAGACCTGCACTTCCTATGCTGCGAAATATATTAACTCCTCCAATTCTGGGCAACACACACATTTTTTCTCCCCTTTCTTTCTTTTCTTCTTCTTTGTCCCCCTTTCCTTGCTCTCCTCCCTTCTCCCAAAGTTTGTGTTTGTCTGGACAGCAACAATTCAAAATATCATTTAGTCTTTCTTCCTTCTGTCCCCTAGGCAATTTTAACAATGTTGTGTTACGCTGAGAAATGCATCTTTTGTTCAACTTCACTCTTACCAAGCAGTTTTGGCTATATAGGTCTCTAAACAAAACAGACCGCAATAAATGACATCGACTGAAGATGCATTTTAATCTCTTTGAGCCTTAAAATTGTTCTATATAGAAATTTTTGCACAGAGTGTTTCTTAGAAGCTCGACCCAGGAATAACCACAATACACAAATAACATAATAAGACTAAGAACTACTCATGAATTATATAATGCACCCATATATATATACGTATATATATGTTTGTGTCTTCAAAATCTTCTGTAACTGATGTACCTATGACTGAGACCGTCCATGTAGATTTTTTTGTGTGCTTTTCAAACCATGATACATCATTCTCTTCCAAATGCACAATGCCAAGGCACTGCCATTCCCATAAGGCCTCCCATGGTGTAACACACATGCTTTTCCCCGGTGTTCCCCACCTTAGTGTTGTGTAGGCTGTTCTTCAGATCATGTCTGCTCTGACTTACTCTATTAGTCCTTCATAAAACCGGTTAGGAAAGAAAAGGCCAATTATGACTAGCCTTTCCCCAGGTCTGAGGAAGAAGGGGGGTTGCAGAGAAATCATCTGAAAACAAAAGCAGTGCTGCTGAGGTACCTTGGCCTGTGTTATTTTCTTATTACAGAGAGGGGTTTGTCGAGTTGGTTTTCAGCGAGGGGAGGAGGAAGAGGAGGAGGAGGAGTGTGTGTGTGTGTGTGTGGGAACTGTGTTGTAAATAAATTCACTTTCTTCTCCGTGAATATGGCAGAGGCGTTTTGTTTGTAACACAAGTCCATGATGATAACCTAATTATTAGAAGTAATGTTACTTTAGCGAGACTGCTGGCATTTTTACAATGTTTGTACAAGCATCAGCAGTCTCGAGGAGAGAGACACTTTGGCACAAGCCAGACTTTTTCTTGGCCCATCTTTTAAAGCTCATAAATTATAAACAAGCCCCTTTCACGCTCAATAGCGACTCTGCTCCTTTGCAGTAGCGCCTAGTGCTCTGAACTCTGGTCACCCACTTAAAACTCGACTTGTCAGCCCAGGCCAGCTCCGGGTCCCCCTCTCCTCCTTGCTCACACAGTCGGTGCAGACCTGGGATGCCCCTTGCACCGTATTTCTTCTGGGGGGTGGTCCCTGCTTGTGTCCCTGTGCCCAGGGCCTCCTTGAAGTGATGAGCAATGCTGGTGCAGGGGACACCGATGTCTCACAGATGCTGCTTGCGCAGGGCAGAGAAAACAAAGCCGGACGCCCCGTGATTGATCAGCCTGTGCGCCCTGGGCAGACCCCCGCTCCCAGCCTGCCTGCTCCTGGCCTGCATGCCGGCCACCCTGGGACCATCCAGAGTCACCGGGGCTTGTGGGAAGAGGAGGGAGCTGGCCATGCTCCCGGGAGGCAAAGGCAGAGTTGGAAGGCTACTGAGGAGGAAAGGGATCCTTATCCAGGCAGGAACTCTCCCAGGGAGCAAGGAGGGCTCAATGAAGGAAGCAAGGGCAGGAGCAGCACAAGGCTCTGCACCCACCAGGCCTGTGGGAAGGCCAAGGGGAAAATCCTGCCTGGGAGCCTCAAGCTGGCCCTGGCTACCCTTGGGGCTCCCTGCCCCAATTCAGAGCACTTGGAGGTCCCTCTCCTGCCCAGGGCACTGTGGAGGAAGGAGCCCCAGTGACTGTGGTCCCTCTCTGTGCCAGACTCTGGAGCATGACCAGCAGGCTGAGAAACAAAGATGGCCCGTGAAGACACAAGGCGCTGCGTGGCACAGGGGCCCAGGCATCCGGCCGCCTCTGCTGACCCGCCTGGGAACAAAAGCTCCCAACACAAAGGGCCATGCTGCCGGGGCCAGCAGCAGCCTTGCTGGCTGCCGGGCACCCTGTGAGCTCGCACATCTGTGAGCTGGGCCTGGCTGCTTTCTGGGCATCGAAGAACGAGTTAATGGGGGAGTTGCCCCTTGGCCAGTGAGCGAGTGGTGGGCACAGCATGGGGAAGACGAGGGAGGTGGGGACCAGCACCTATGAAGGGTCCATCAATCACACGACATGCACTTTTCATGCGGCAGCAGTTCCTCCTCCTTCAGCTCCAGCCCAAGCCAGCTGAGACATGGCCAGAAACCCTAGCCAGTGGCGGCAGTGCCCGGTACAAGAGCCAGAGTGGCTGGAGGGGCTTCCAGCGGGGAGGATGTGACTGAGCCCCTTTGGTCTCCTGGTCACTGTGCCCCACACCTGCAGGCCTCTGCAGAGCGTATGCGGTGCTGCCAGCGCTGGAGGTGGCAACGGCCTCGCTCCTGCAGAGTCCCGGCCTGGCTCTGCTCTGGGACAGCCCCCGAGAGGCTCAGCTATGACCACCACAAGCACAAAGCTTGGGGTCTCTCATGGGGCAGGATGGAGGTCTTCGAGGGAAAAATACTCCTGAATGCACAATCCATATTGTTGGGTTCATTTCTGCTTTATTTACTCACGTGCAGCAGCCACTCTTGCAGCAGCAGAAGCTTTGGGAATACATAGAGACCCATGCTGCCCTCTGCTCCAGACAGCCTGAGCCACCTTTCAAGATCTTTCTCTTCTCTGCTTCCATGCGGAGGATCTTTGTATTTAATGCCACGTCCTGGGAGAACACAGGCCCCAGGTTTTCCCTCTTCCTCGCTGATAGCCGTTCTCCAGGTGGCTTTGGATGACCTGGCCATGCAATAGGGGCAACACTTACATTCCAGGTGCTTGGTCACCTCTCTTGAGGGTGCCCCTTGCCCCCAGCTGCCTCCACACACGCTGCCCCTTCCCATGCACTCCCTGGCACCAGGGGCGGGAGCTTTTGGGCTGGACTTGCTCCTTCATCATGTCCTAATGTAATTACCCCCTTCTCCTGGGGTTGGCAGTGATCCACATGTTTCCAGAAGCATCGGAGCACTGTAGCTGGCTTGGCCTGTCATTCCTGCAAGGGTTTCTGCCACAGCAGTTTCCCTAGCTTGTGCCATCACTGAGCTTCTCTGACCTCCTCTTCCTTTGCCAAATTTGCTTCTCCAGCCATCAATTTCCTTCCACACTTCTTTTTTTTTTTCTTTTTTACATCTAATTCTTCCTGCTCAGATTTCCAGGATTTTCCTTCCATTAGCCATCTTGCCAAAAAAAAAAAAATCAAAAAAAAGCTGGA